ATAGATTAAATGATGCTGAATCCGATGCACTACTCAGATTTGAAATTAAAGGCCGTCTTGACCTCAGAAAACGTATTTCAAAATAGCTCCTTTTTTGAATATTTCGCCATTTTGAAAGTGATGGTACACATGATGGTGACGACTTAGAGAGTTGATTCTTGAGGCAAAGTTGTTCAGAATTGCGTGTTCTATGTGATCTGAAAGTTTCCAAGCACTAGCATTTCATTTGGTTGCGAAAATCGCAATGCAAATTTGCCCTAAAACCTTGAAAGTTTAAACTCTCCATGATTTCCCCGGGGGTGTTCGCAGGGTTTTGGAAAGTGCAAAAATACATTTTCTTGTTCAGAATTTGATGCTCTTTCGAAAGAGATAGGTCTACATAAATGCGACAAACTTTTCTGTAAACGTGGTTGTTTACCGGTGGAAATCACCAATTCTGTTAGTTCTAAATTCCTCTCACAGGAGATTAGAGCTGCCCCGAGTTCGTTTATCCTGAATTTACCACTGTATTCCTGTTTTGGAGCTGGAAAATGAGGATATTTAGAATAACTTGAATGACTTACCCCTGAGTTGTGCTGATTATGAAAGATTATATTTTAGTATTTTATTAAAATGGAGTGAAGAAGATTACAAACACAGACTAGCACAACGTAGATTGATGTTAACTATACGACACTTCTGTACCAACTGAATAGAAAATAAATACATATTCTTATATAGTTATCTGGTCTCTTTATAATGTGTTTAGTATAAGCATATAGACAAAGAAAAGAGTAAACTTTACGTCTGTTTAGCTCATTGATGTACAATAACAAATCAATAAAAATGACTACATAGAAAAAGGAGAGAATATGTACATATAATGGAAAGAAAATGTAGTCTGTGTATATAAATGAACAAAGAAAGAGGTACATATGGAATAGGACAGCATGTCTAGAGATAGCTAGGTATGACAAATTCGTAGCTTAGTTATCTCGTTTGATTTCGAGTCGATGCAGTTTTATTAAGAAAACCAGTCAGTTGAATACTCAAGCATACGAGTGATTCTTCTCGCACTTTTCTCTCTGTCCACCCGATTTATCGAATCGATATTATCACGCGCAAAATTCCTCGTGGAAGACAACATATTTTAATCAAACTGTGGACATTCACATGATGTGATTTCATCACACAATCATCATTGGTTCTATGTTGAATTTCCTTGTCGAAGATTGTCGAGTAGATAAACAAAGAGATTACCAGAAAATAGAAAACAGGCGATGAATGAGCTTCAAATGAGTAAGCGTCTAAGCGACTGGATCACGTGATTGGTAGAACTTATCAATCCACTGGTCAAGCTCATCGATATGGTAGCTAAAGGTTTCCTTGCCTGGTTCCGCTTTCGAAGCCAGTTTACTATCATAAATAATATAGAAGCGGAATGGCCATGATCCGTAAGTGTGATGGAAAGTATTGTTCATATTGTCGACGAACATGAGCATTTCAAACTTGAAATTCTTCTTGCATTCTCGAGTCGTTGTTCGATTGTTGTTGGCTGATCCACACACGAAATGGTCTTACCCGCAGGTCATTGATCGCGTGCGTGCGCCTCGGCGATGTAAATGACCAAGAAGCGCATTCCATCGGGCACATGCGAGCGAAAAAGCGCGCTATATATACGATTCATGAGCAGTGTGCTTATAGATAAGATCAAAAATACATACTTCATTCGCTCGACAGACGCCCGAAATGGGGGTCAGCTGATCGAGCCGGCCAACAGTACCAATGGTTGGTCAGTTGGAATTTGCGAGAAGAGAGTCGTAGGATGACCTTCTAGGGTGAACAAATCGACGTCACGAACACACTGGCCTTGATTGATCAGGCCCTGAGTGACTTTGTTGTGCTTAACTAGAAACGAATGAACAAGACAGTTTAGTTTCAATAATTGGCAATGAAAAGCATATGCTCGAACATGACTACGTTTTCTCTCATAGAAAGAACACAGATGGTTTCTCAGTACTTTTTTAGTGGTAAAAACAGATGGAAGGAAGCATGACAGAACAAGATAGAAAGGAAAATCATGCATTATGTGCTCATGAGAAACAAATACATGCATGAAATGATGCTAGATGGAGGAAATCCATTTTGAGACGTTTCGTTTTCCAGACAAGGGGTGGCATTTTACCTTTACTTTTGTGGTAAAGAAAGTATTTACCGTTTACTGCGTAGTAAATAAGTAAATATTTTATTTATTTTACTTGTCTTACCTGACCATCAAGTCAAGTAAATATGCCACCTCTATTTCAGATGGGTATTATATCCTCTGTTGACTTCTTCTACAGTATTGTGAATATTACAAAGAGGGCAACTATGAATACAATATAAAATGAAACTCTATACTGACTTGTTTACGTGTTAGAACCAAAAATAATTTTCTAAGCAAAAATGAGTTTATAAAAAGTTTGCAAAAGTTGGAAGTTAGGTCAGCACAACCTGCTCTTGCAGTTGACTACCATGACTTACCATAAAAAGCTGCTTTGACTGCGGGTTCGTCTGGAAAACGATGCAAAGCGGTACGCAATGCGTTCACATCATGATATCCATAATAGTCCACGACATGTTGTTGAATGAGATCGTGCATGAAACTTAAATGTCACGGTGAAACTAGTTAAAAGCATGTAAAACGAAAAACAATGAGACTTACGTAACAGCAGTCTCATCCATGTGGTACATGTCCATGAGCTCTTGAATCGGCTTGGATAAGCGAATACGTGTTTCATAATCGATCATCTCGCGTATGGTCTCGATTGGAGGCAGTTCATCCGACATTTTGACAGTTTCAAAGCCCATACGACCGAAACTGGGAAAAAACATCCGACAGCGGCCTCTACTAGGGTACTGACGCTTGGATGAGGGCTGTTGCTGTTCTGGTGGAGGGGCATGATTAGATGTCGAAGATGTATTGTTGGCCACCGGAAGTGCTTGCCCTTGGGCAGTAATCGCCGTTGCAGTCTTCTCTGCAATTATGGCATATTCTTGTTCGCTGGCATTTCGGGAGTCTTGTTGATGCTCTTTAGGAATGCCGTCAAGCGGCTTCTCGCTACTAGTCATTCTGTTACCTTCTTTTCATGTATTGCTGAAGCAGATAGAAGACATATGCATCTACTTAG